CATGCATGAATCACCACGTCACCACGTCACACACATGCATGAATCACCACGTCACCACGTCACACACATGCATGAATCACCACGTTACCACGTCACACACATGCATGAATCACCACGTCACCACGTCACACACATACATGAATCACCACGTCACCACGTCACACACATGCATGAATCACCACGTCACCACGTCACACACATGCATGAATCACCACGTCACCACGTCACACACATGCATGAATCACCACGTCACCACGTCACACACATGCATGAATCCCCACGTCACATCTGAAAGTCTCACAGCTGACGTAATTGTTTACAATTATCACCATGACACCAGCACAAATCTTTATTATCTTCCTAACAGGGAAATAACACTTCCTCACCAGAGCATAATCAGTCTCGATAAACTGTCAGTGAGCGAACAAGACAACAAGAGCGATTATAATTACATGAGTGGATGATTGAGAATCAGTGATAACTCCAGGTGTGCGCTGAATTGGTAAGTATCTGGTGCCTTGTCGGTAACACCCGCCGTTCACACAATCTGGATTAGAAGGAAGTGTTTGTTTGTTGCCTGACATGTTGCCTGACATATTGCCTATGTAGTGTCCATAAATACGTCTCTCGTGCACCGTCCACACTGTGAAAGTGTTGATGAGAATGAACTAACTGTGATAACGTTACCTGCATCCGGCAAGTGAGCTGTCAATACACTGTTAATGATCACGATGTTGTACCTCACGGAGTAGCCTCCCTTGCACAGGTCATGGCGAGCTGAAGTTCATCCACTCTATCACGGTTGTGCTATCACACCGCCTGGTGTATCCCTGCATAAACACAAACATTCCCACGTTAGCGGTACCTGTTTTTAAAGACAAAATCTGGCTTCATAACATAAGGTTCAGTGTAAAAGAGTGGAGTCCTAGTCAATCAGTCATGTCACGATGCCTTTGTGATTTTTATAAGCGTCAGCAGATAGTGTAGATGTCATTGGATTGTATCGTTTGACATCAGGACATTTCCAACGACTGTCCACTTGGATCAAGGGCGATTACTCTCATGTGCAAAATGAAGGTAAAGGTCGTAAATAGACGCGGCGAGGGATGCTGGGACGATGATGCTCTGAACCTTTATAATGCCACGATGTTTGGTTTCACAATGTGAATACTCTATTTCAAACGCATTGGTTTCTCTAGTCCTGTGATAGATCACAGGCAACTGTAAAAACCCACGTACACATATTCAAATATAAAATGTCAATAATACAGTTTTGAGATGCATTCGTGGTGTGTACATTCATCACTGGTGTTAAGTGAAAAATAGTAGTGTCCATCGGGATTAGAGTAGACGTTGCAGAGTACAGTTGCACAATGGCACCTACCGCCCCCATTTGAATGACCACCTGATGCCCAAATAGTCATGTCTGCACGTGATGTTATTACACAGTGTATACTACAGGTGTATTGTTATAAAACGGGTTCTCTCTTCGCGGTGGAGTAATAACACAATTGAACGTACATAGATAGATTACTCATGTGAGATCCGTGAAGTCCCGGCTTAGAATAGGTCTTCAGCAACACATGCTTGCCGTAAAAAGCAACTATGCTTACGGGATGAAGGGTGTATATGCAATTGTACAATATATGTAAATTATTGCCATTCTTCTAGTACAATTACGGAACTTTAGCATTCCTATTTGGAGATTTTCTCGTGCTACACACATTTATGTGAATCGGTAATTTAAAGACGTACAATCAGATCGTTTTAGTTGCCATAAATAGCTTTGTACGTGTAATGTGACCCGTGAAGATTCCGGGGTAGAATAGGTCTTCAGCAACCCATGCTTGCCGTAACAGGTGACTATGCTTGTCGTAAAAGGCGACTAACGAGATCGGGTGGTCAGGCTCGCTGACTTGGTTGATGCATGTCATTGTACCCCAATTGCGTGGATCGATGATCATGATGCCCATCACTGGATTATCTGATCCAGACTCGATTATGTACAGACCGCCGTCATATAGCTGGAATATTGCTGACACATTAAACAACAAACAAACAAACAAAATATTAATGTAAAGTTTATAAGCGAACTGCATCGTGTACTCAACTGCAGTATGAGTGGGTGAGTGAGTATGGTTTTACGCCGCTTTTAGTAATATTCCAGCAATATCACGGCGGGGGACACCAGAAATGGGCTTCACACATTGTACCCATGTCGGGAATAGAACCCGGGTCTTCGGCGTGACGAGCGAATGCTTTAACCAGTAGGCTACCCGACCACCCCTGCAGTATGAGTAACTTCAACTGAAATACTTATGCAGCGTGTACACTGAGTACTTCTGATTATTTTGTTTTGGGTAAAAGTTACTATTGTTTAAACAAATATATCCCAAGTGGGAATATCAGATAAGAGTATGTCCCAAGTAACCTTTGCTGTTCATAAGATGCGACATAATGGATCCTGAGGTCAGGCTAGGTTACTTTGTGGGTAGTGTGACATCGTACCCCGGTGACGAGGCATCAATGTTCCTAATACCAATCGTTGGTCCAGACTCGATTGTGTTACAGGCCGCAGTTATATAGCTTGAATATTGCAGAAGGGTGACGTGAAACAACAAACACACACACGCATTAATGTCCTTATATTATCCAATCAGCGCTGTTGTGACTAGAATGTTGTTCATGCCATTAGTAAGTGAATTGATTTTGTTTTTCATTGGTGTCAACAATGTTCCAGCTATATTTGAAAGAGTGGAAATGTGCGTAACACACACATATATAATCTGTTCCAGAAATTCTAGAATAATATATTGTTCTCTAGTTTTTCAGTGGTGGGCAGAACTTTCAAATAAGAAGTGGATAACTTATCTCACGGAAGACGTTAATGAAGACGAATGCTTCAGAGCGACCGTTTACACAAAAATGTATCCACCAATTTATTTATTTATTTACAGAACGTTTTAATAAAATCATATTCACTATTTTCCAAAATAATCTTACATTGATCTTTGTATGAATGACTACATTACAAGATTTCAGCGTCGAGGAGTAAGAAAGCTTTTACCTTCTTAAACACTACACGTGTGTTAGAGTTGCTTCCCTTCCATCTAACATTATGTCAATATTGAAGGCTTCATGGGAAAACACTATTACATCAACGTTTGTGGGTATTAAACCCCAACAAGATCCGATACTGTACCCGTATGTAACGCCCTACACTACAGACTGTTATGCCTGAATATAATATTATCCACCACAGTCAGACTGCCACATATCACATGTGCGACAATAGTGTGTGATGTCGTTATATATGGAATGTATGTACTGGCAGTTGTTTTGAACAAGTAGCACTTGACCCCATTCGGACCCGGTAGTACTTAGTGGTAGCATGTTCAGTCTGAAACTGTAGGTTGTAACTGGACTGGTTTGTATTCACCACACAGTGTCTTCGTGCTTTTCAAACATGGGAGGTAACTCGTACAGATCTAATGGAGGAATGCCCGCATCAGTCAGATAGCCTAAAACATCAAACGAGATGTCTCATTGCAACTGTTAATTTTTTACATTTAGTATTATACATGTTGAGAAAATGTACACAAAATACATTATTAATATAAGAAAAAATACGTCGAAGGTTGTAATGACATTAAAGCAAATGTACATATCATGGGTCATTTCCTAAGTTTTGATAATATTCTAGTAAATACAATCGAATCTATGCAGTTTGCAGCATGTAAACGCTTTCTACATGCCAAATCGTCAAAATCATGATACTTTATATGGATATGTTATCCATTAGTAGTTATAAAACGATTGCAATGATTTGAACACAAATAATAAGCTTACAAGTGTATAGATATGTATAAAGTCTGTGAAAGTGAATTGGGTATCAAAGGGTAAAAACATTTAATGTGCTCTCCTGGATTTGGTGATATGTGTATTGATAATGTCAATGTCCTAAGTTTGTGTATGGATTAAGATACTGTTATAAACAACAATACCATTATTTTATGTTTGAAATGTCTAAGACCAACTCATATTCACTATTTAAACCTTCATTAGTACGTGTAGTTTGTATATACAAGTTTATATAACAAGTAATAAGTTAAAAAAAATGTATCTCGATTTAGATGTGAGTCACACAAACGGGCATTATTGTAAAGAATTGCCAACAGATCAATTATTGTGAAATCAGAAACTAATATATTAATATTTTAATAAAAAGTACTATAAATTACCGACAATAAATAAGTCAATATGTTATTGTTATCTACAATTGTTCATGTTATACAGCACTTGTCGATGTACATTTATTATTCGACGTCAACGATGAGCTACATTACATTACGAATAAACGAATTGAGCTCAAATTATGTATTGTGCATAATTGGAAAGTTGAATTAATTGCCACACTGTCTAATCTATCCGCTATGTCCAGCTAGGGATCATCCCATTGAGATAGAGGTGTTGCCTGACTGTGGGATGGCTGACTGATGGGACTCGAATGTCTTATAAACATCGCCACCATATGCAATGCAAATCGGACAGTAGTTATGCAAATGTGTCCTTCCGTAGTGAAACCAGCTGCTGAAATCCATATTTGTCAATTCACTGCAGACACAATGAATACTACTCTGCTGCTTTTGTATTGTGAAAATAGGCCAACCTTCAACGCCACCGATGTTTTGTAGTCCATATTGCGTGAGTTTCATTATTTGGTAGCTTTCTGTCAAGTGGTTCGAGAGTTGTATTATGACTGCATTACAAAGGATTTCTCGGTGAGTCGCTCACGTTCCCTGGAAATGTGTTTAGTGTTATTGCGTATAATAAACACGTGACCAGATATAAATAAACCTGATCATATGAGTTAGTGTAGTGCAGGAAGTATAAACGTCAAGAGACAGGAAAACGTATAAAGGGCAATATAAAATAAATATCGGGTGATGTGGCAAATAAGCAATATGCATTAAGAGATTTAAACCTTGTTTAAATTGTTATGAGTGACGTTGTATATTTGTGTGGTTCACAAGGGGTCCAGTTTGGGTGGACGGCGTCATGCTTGATTGGGTGAAGCAAGCTGCCTGACGGGGAGAAGCGTGCTTGTGGGGTGATTGGAGTTTGAGTTGGCTTGGTAACCTTTTGTTGTGTGCTGAAGTAGATAGCTTACTTGGAAATTTGTTTACTATATGAGGGCAAGTTATCGAACAGAAAGGGGAAAGGAAAAAGAAGTGGAGAGGGAGAAATATGGTTTAACTGAACGAGTGCAGTACAGCCTAGCGTTATGTCCGGGGACTGAGTTAGAAGGTCATGTCGACGCTTTAAAGGAGGAAACTGTTGTTACCCAGTTATCCTGTGAACTGTGATATATAAGTTTGGAACAATGTGGAATGGACTGCATTGGCAATGTGATGTCAAGAAATCTGAGGTGACTTACTTATATTGCACATTTGCCATATTGCTTTGCCTAAATAGATGTGTATGAGTGCCTTGCCCAGCAACTGAGAATTGTTTTATAATTATCTTTGTTTTAATTATTAAATCTAGCTTTAAAGTTCAGAGATTGTTGTGTGATTTTCGTAATTGTTATTTGTGGTATTAGCGGGAACCCCTGCCGTTCATACCACACGTAACAAAATTCAAACATGCCAAAAAGCCCAAACGACAGAAAATATGAAATACTTGACACATTTGATATGATGTATGTTTGGGTTATGTTTGTGTCTTTATTTGTTATTCAACTCCGAAGTGAGAACGATTCCAGTACATGATAGCATGATGTCAAAACCCGAGTCAAGACAAACCAGCGATACGATGAGCAACGACAAATGCCACCAGGGCACGATGACACGGTATCAACCAAATCACCGCGTCTGACCCCCCGATCCATTGCGTTCCTCTCCACAGCTGCCATGGTCCTATTCTCTTGCGATTAAGTAATCTACTTTGAGTTTGGTTCGAAATAACGCATAAAAACATTACATGTTGGTTGGTTGGTTGGTTTATTGTTTAACGCCGCACTCAGCAATATTCCAGCTATATGACGGCGGTCTGTCAATAATCGAGTATGGACCAGACAATCCAGTGATTAACATTATGAACATCGATCCACGCAATTGGGATCGATGACATGCATCAACCAAGTCAGCGAGCCTGACCACCCGATCCCGTTAGTCGCCTCTTACGTTGAGCATATTAGCTAAAACCCATGACCTTTTACGGCAAGCATGGGTTGCTGAAGACCTACTCTACCCCGGATCTTCACGGGTCACATTACATGTACAAAGCTATTTATGCCAACTAAAACGATCTGATTGTACGTCTTTAAATTACCGATTCACATAAATGTGTGTAGCCCGAAAAAATCTCGAAATAGGAATGCTAAAGTTCCGTAATTGTATGAGAAGAATGGCAATAACTTACATATATTGAACAATTGCATACACATCCTCCATCAGACTGTGCACACGTTATATACATCAGTGCACCATGATAACGTAACATGTCTCTTCGTTTAAGCATTACATGTCAGTGATGTCCACTCAAAGTGACTGACCCATGTTGTCAGGCTACATCCACCATATGAAGGCATTACGCCCAGGTAAAAGGACATGTTCACCTCTCTGTTTAGGCGATACTTTGCTGGAAACGAATCGACATCACTAAAAGGCACTTTATGGAACTTATTTCACACAAAACACATTTTGTTTGTATGCATATAATATATTGACAAAGTAGACAACCATACCTTTCCATGAATAGGTACATGTACGCTTAATTAGATACTTTGAGCATATAAAGGACTTATATTATAATATAACATTTAATAGAATTAACACAAATACGACATTAAACATGCAGCATGTCATATTGCTCAAGCACAGGTCTACAGAAATAAGAATTTACTCCAAAGGTGAGAGGCTAAATCGAATAACGTCCCAATACAATGACTGGTTCTTGATGCATAAACTATTATTGGCACTGTGACAAAAATACACTTTTAATGAAGCAAATATATAGGAAAGTTTGCCCGAGGAACTATGCAGGAAAACCCGCTAGGCAATACCTTGATGGTTTCCTTACGTTGCGCAAATGAATCTAAATGTCGCTGTACGTGCTCACTATGATGTCATGTCGCTGTTTAACATGGATACCCCACTCAGACACTATATACCCCGAGCCGATCAGTCCTCGTGTTCTCCCCTTAATGCAAAGCCCAATGCACGGAAACCAAAATGTATTATCATTAAACACTTTTTGGTATGACACAGTCGATCGAACCAACGACTCTCCGGGCAAACGCCATCTCCACTGGACCAAGAAAAGAGGAAAAAAGATGAATGAAATATATAAACAATGCATTAGAAGGTGAAAGTGGCAATTTATATACAGATCGGAAGCCTTAAGAGTAATGGATCTGATCTGATGTATAAAATATATATTCAAATATATAAAAATATATATTTGGACAAAATCAAAATTCTAAAAGATTTCACGCCAAAGGAAGTGCTTCACTGATATCACATCGCTAAATTACATCACGGCAGTTCAGCAATCATCCATCTAAACTACACCAGCGGTCGACAATATTCAACCAGCCATATCACAGCAGTCAGCAATAATCAAGCCATATCACAGCAGTCAGCAATAATCAAGCCATAACACAACAGTCAGCACTAATCCAGATATATCACAGCAGACAGCAATAACCCAGCTAAAGCACAGCAGTAAGCAATGATCCAACTGTTTCACAACAGTTAGCACTAACCCATATTTATCACGGCATTCAGTAATAAGGCAACTAGATCAAAATGATCATACATATCGTCTTTCGCTTAGTAGTCAGCAATAATCCAGCTTTATCACAATACTCAGAAATAATCCAGCTATATAACAGCAGTCAGAAATGATAAATCCAGACCACACCAGACACCAACGATTCACCTTATCAATGGAGTTAGGAAAACTCTAGCCATATCACAGTTTGCAGTAATAATCCACCATAACCACAGCAATCTGCAATAAGACACCTATATATCACAGCAGTCAGCAATATTCAACCTATATCACAGCAGTCAGCAATATTCCACCTATATCACAGCAGTAAGCAATATTCCACCCATATCACAGCAGTCTGCAATAAGCCATCACTATACGAGCAGTCACTGGATTTAACTCCTTGGACCTGATTTGTGAATATGATTCTTGGAATTATGAATGTGTTAAAACTGTCATGTCATATGCACGAAAACTGGATATAAAGCAATTTAAGAAACCCTTGTGTACCCATTCAATCTTCTGCAAGTCAACTCTACACTTGGAAGTCAACATATGATCGCTACACTTCTCAATTCAAATTACACCAGTTCCCATGTTATTCCAGATGAAATTTGTAGAAAACGCGTCAAACTAATTTACATTCTAAAACAATTCTAGTTATAATCAGTATGTTGATTCTATGTAGATATATGCACACGTATCCCATTGCTTCCCCCTCAGAGTCTCACTGTATCGTGATTTGTGATATAGTGTTTTTCAAACACTCAAAACAAAATGTTGTCATTCGATGAAAAACATATAAGGTACCAATATTTTGTGTATCAGGTTTTGATGAATCTATTTTGAACCAAGTGGGAAAGCATTGTGTGAGTTTACTTGGACTGTAGTAGATTGTACTTATATTGTTCTGATTAGAGACATGTTTGAAAGAGGTGGGTGCACTTGCACACAGCGACATCAATGTTGTGACGACTACAAGGCTTCTGTTACTTATGTTAAAGCATACAATCGTCGTACTGCTGGGACATTTTTGTGCAAGATAGCCAAGAATATACCTGATTTGTGAATATGATTCTTACTCCAGCCTAAGTGTCCAATTCCAGTATGATAGAGTATATTCTGCTATTTTCAACGCCACACTCAGCAATATTACAAATACATATATGCTCGTTGTCTGAACGTATTATCGATACAGAAATTCAATCATAACCATTGCCTAATTTTAATTGTGGAAGAAGGTATCTTTTATAAAAAAAGTGTTATTTAGCAATGGATGTTTTATTCAGCAACAACTTCACCGACCCTTGACCGGAGAAACGAGTGATTTATGTAATAAGTAATGATCGAAACTGTGAGAGTACGCATACATTCAATCAACTAAGTCACCGTACATGACCACCTGATCCTTTACATCTTTTCGTACAGGTAACACATCAACACATTTTTACATGGACTGTTGTTTCACCTTGCAACATTCCATTTTACCAGGGTGGACTGTAATCACATATTGGACAAGGAGAATGTTGACACATAAGGCAACATAAGGAAGTGGTTGTTATTACCACTTTGACGATATCCGTTTTGTCTGTGAGCATAGTATGATGCGATCAAAACAGGCAACTGATTTCGATGGATCGCCTGGATTTGTGTTGTGTATGGTTTCAGTCACCGGTTTGCCTGGTCTAGACTCGATCTTTACACGCCAAGATCGAAAGGTTGATGTCTAGTTGGTTGAAGCGTTAAACATCAACTAATTTTACCTCTTTCTGTAATCAGGTAAATGAATAGTTGTTTCAGTTAACCGAGATGTGTGGATAACGTTCTTACTCTATTAATCCGGGTGTGCCCGCGTAAAATGTCCCTGTGATGGCTCTGCCTGGAAGCGTGTATATATACTCTCTAAAAGACAGGGGGAATTCGAAACAGATAACAGATGATTACAGAAATACAGAGAGGTTTAGAGTGTTACGGAAAAAAGAAAGGATTACATGTAATATGTCTCACTTACTCACTCATTCTACGTTTGCTCGTAAGAGGAAATTATGGGTTAAGTTCACATTTTAGTTGTACATAATTTGTATATTTGTTTTCTTTTGATAGAATGATAATAATCTAATTCAATAAAGTTGAAGGTAATCCGTCCCTATTGGGGGTGCTCCATTCATCAGTGTGACTCATATGTGTCAATGCATATTCTGTCACATGACATCCAGTCAGGTGCACGTTTCGTTTAACACGCTGTTCATATGGTCTTTAGCGCGTAACTCCATTACATTCTGATACACAAAGCCACCAGTGTGTTCGGATGTCTTTATAATATCTCCTGTGAAGTGGTCTGTAATAATTTATGCATTGAAGATTTGAGTGACCCAATCGCCTTCAGATAACATTTGGTTCAAGGACGTAGTGAATGGAAAGCTGTGTACCTTCAACATGAATGCATATTTATTTGCGCTGAGTAGAATTCTATAGAGGGTTAGATTCAGTGCGCGCCAGACGATGTGAAATGTGTAGGCGCGGGTCCGATAACCAGTATTATCATTATGTACCCTCACTACTACTACTACTACTACTACTACTACTACTACTTCTACTACTACTACTACTACCATTAATTCTTCTACCATTGCAGCTGCTGCTGCTACTACTACTACTAGAACGTCTACCACTTCTACAATTATTACTACTACCACCACTACTGACAACATTACTACTACTACAACAACGACTACTATTAATAGCACATCCAAGTCCACATTACTAGTACTACTACTACAACAACTACTACTACTACTACTACTACTACTACTACGACTACTATTGACAGGAGAATATATATATATATATATATATATATAAACAAACTTCTGAGTCATTAGTCATAAGCGTAAATTTCTTTTGGATGTGGAAAGGACTCTGTCGCAGTTAAGAGGAACAAATCATGTACTGCAGAAATACATTTGTCTTTATCTGGATTCAACTGTTATATTTTTTATGAGGCGGCCAGTGGATCGAATCACCAACCCACCGCTGTCCTTTCGGACTCTCCATCCACCAGACCAAGTAGGTGGTCATCCAAAAATTGACACTGACGGATGTGTGTACCAGGTGGGAACGAGCATCGCTATCGGTAGATTAGTTGTAACTGTGAGCTTGGAGTGAAATATACAAGCAATGCACTGTTTCAGGTACAAGTTGCCTAAAAACCAGAAGCTAATCAACACGAGACACATCATCAAAATGTAAAAAGGTTCAGACATAATAAAACGCAATCTGGTATCCTTCATACCCGTAATATAGGTGGCGAATATCAAAATATAACACACGAATATAGACAAACGTTAAAATCTCACAACTCTTTCAAACCCCATAATATCTACGTATCATAAAACTGCATTGTACCATAATCTGTATGAACCGCCACACTATTTTGTCAAACAGAAGCCGAGGAAGAAGCAGCTTTCGACTTTACTCTCAAACCAAAGGAAAGAAAACGGAAATTACCACAATGACACAATAGAGGAGACTTAAACCCTATTTACCTGGAGCCAGGCAGTCCGTTAACTCACCCTTTCCAGACGAATAAACCAGGAAACACCATATATTCAAATCGTCATTGCACTGTTCCTACATTTATATGTGCTATTTTAAAACTCAATCTTGGACCGAATATCAGATATTTTGATTTCAAGGCAAACAGTAAATACATGACAAATGATTATTTAATAATGTGTCAAAAATGGCGATATTTACTATGTTCCTAATTTTCCTTTGATTAAAATGACAGTTGATGATATCACAGAACATGATATTTCCGGCGAAATTAAAATCCTTCAAGTGCATTTGTATGTGTTATGTAATTGTAATGTTATTTGACTTCAAACTGAGGGCAGAAGAGGAGGGACGAGAATGTGGCATCCAGGGGGTTAATGCGAATATGTAAAAAGGTGTTTTAATGAACCTTGAGTGGAAAAGTAATGTTGATTTATTGTCCTTTATTGCCGATCCACAAATGTTCAACTCGGGTTTTCCAACATGAAAAGTAATTCCGATCTATAAGTCATGTAAACGTTCAAATGTGAAGTTTAAACTTTGTAAACGTCACTTTTTTAAGTTTGTTGATAGATGAACGGGTCATGTGAGCAGGGACTAAACAGATCACATTACTGGAAATCACCCCTTAAACGTCCAAGTAAGATATAAATATATATAAGAAATAAACGACGATTTGGAGTTATTTATGGTACAATAAAACAGTGCAGGAAGAATAAACCATGAGGTGCGCAGTGTTTTATGAGTCATTTTTTTCTTATGTTTCGTAAGGATGTCAATAAACTGTACAAGCTTTTACAAATTAACCCGTATCTAAATAATTATGACTTCCCGAACACAATCCGGCCTCGGCAATGACGTTCACTTTCATTGTTTGTACAGGTGGGATTATGTTCGGCATTTTATAAATTTTCGTCCATTATCTGCATCTGTTTCCCATTTTTCACAACACCGATTGTCATATCACTCCAACTTTTGTGTGCGATCGTTCGGCTTTGCGTTCATGTTAGCAACTATTATTTTATGAGACACGGGGTGATTCATTTATACTTCCCCATTTTGAGGAAGAATACAGTTTCCCGCAAATATAAACTCTGAATCCACGACTGCTGGTCACACGCTTAGCCCCATCAGTTAGCTGAACACCTCAACATTGAAAATGTCCCTCTCTAATAATCAGTAAGTAGGTTTAATGTACACACATTTACAGTGTCATGACCTTGTTTTAATTGTCATTCATATCAGTATACATTCTTTTACATTTTCAGACACTTCAAGACTTCTGTGTCGATGCTGTGTTTGGCGTTCATTGTACTAATCATACGAGGTAAGTTCTTAAAATCTTCCTTGTTTTAATAACTTTCTCTGCTATAGAAGATAAGTGTATAAGTAATGCATTAGTTTGTCTGGCTTTTCTTCCAACACAGACTTATAAATTGAAATAAGAGTAAGGATAGGGTATATTTGATGAACAATTTCTTTATTACAACTTCTCATTTACAAAGTTTTCATCCATGTATCCTATCCTTACTTAGTACCCCAACTTCTAAATGCCTCTCAAAGAAGTTGAAATAAGAGGTCGTCATGCTCCACTGATCTTAGCGACTCACCTGCTAATCACGATCGATCGAGCGGTCGGTCGCTCGGCTTCAGTTCTTCGACTCTCTGGTCATAAGGCCAGCTCAAGAGAATATATGGTCAGTAAATGTCATTATGTAGCATTTTAATCTTATGTTCTTTCCATGTGTTTATTTGATATATGGTATCTCCTATGTATGTGCAAGCATATTCACCTGTTGAAAATGTTTTGTGATTAGTAAATTCGATTTTCATGTAGTGGAGGGATAATCATACATATCTGAGAGAATGTATGGATGGCAATCCCTTTATTATGAGGAACACAATGTTTCGAATTATATGTTTACTTCTTCACCAGGTGAAATGGTGATACACTGAGCATGATCTCCAAAAAGTGATGTTTCTCAAAAAAAGAATTTGACCTCCATACATTATTTTCCTTATGTGTATCGCTTCTAAATGTCATTCAAAGACTTTTGATGAGGAACATACTTCTCGGGATAGATTACGCATCAGTTAAAATATTGTCAATATGTAGCTACTTTTTCAGTCTATGGGTGCAACAAGAGAAGGAGCCCTTTCCTGTCACTGACCAGGTCAAAGGCTTATAAGTAAGCCCAACAGGGGGAGTTCTTGAAAACTTCAAATATCATCTGAAAGCCAAGCAGAATGTCCTGCCCATTTTGCATCAAAAGTCGCAGTTAGAAGTGTTACGGGGCACTTCTTAAGAAGAATCTTCCGGCTCTGTACTGTTTCTTGTTAATTTCACAGTGTCCATATAATAGACTGTTCCATGCATTTGTAATGAAGTGAATAAAAGGTCAACGCAGCAATCATTCTTCACCACTTCAGCTGATATGTTATCAAACCCAGATGCTTTACTGATTTTCGACCGGGAAACTGCCTTTACTACTTCAGCCCGTGTAAGCGCCGGGTCCCCATGCTGCGTATATTTATTTAACTTATTATCGTAGCGATAGTAGCACCGAATACAGTTAATCGTAGTTCTGTTTCCATCTAGCTAGTACATAATTTACATACTTGGGTATATTCTTCAAAACGGGTATTTAAGTTCCATGTCTTAATTAAAAACAAGCTTGGTTTACGTAATTAAAATCTCCTATGGATTTGTTAATTTTTTCGCATAGTCTACAATGATGTAAGTAAAATCTTTTCCACATTCGAACCACCTGTTTAACATACGAATGTTGGTATGAACAAGGAAATATATCAATAAATATCCACGAGTGTTTACTGATATATCACGGATATCTCGGTTTGGTATTGAATCAACTCCATATGCAAAATCATCGTGATCACGGATTCTGGCGTTAAAATCTCTACAAACGAGTACGATACACTGACATTGGTAATTATAGAATATTTAAGTGATTCAGTTGCTGTTGGAGATGAGTTTCATTGTTCCTATGTATGTGAAGGTTTTCTCATACAGCGATGTGAACTCTTAAATAAACAGTATCTTGAGTTTCCAAACTTTCCAAGTTAAGAAACATATGATCACTGACAATGTAAGAGAAAAAAAAGGCCTATCTGAATGCCTTAACAATGTGTCATAGGGTTGTTAATATGTATAACTATAAACGTATCCTATTCTCATGATTCGTGTTAAATGCTGTCATTTTAATTTGTACATGTAATAAATTGCATATAATTGTATTTCATGTACCCCCATGGATGGTTTTCCGAGAATCAATGGGTTTGAGTAAACGAACTAACATATTCTTTTATTGTTTATATTTCAGTGGTCTTTTTATTTTTCACAGTTGTAAGGTTGATTCGTATCTGTCGAAGCTCTTAAGCTATATATCTAGCCCAAAGGCGTTAGAAATAACGGGCTTCGATTGTAATAAATGCATGGTTAAGGATAACAAATAGCAAACTCACATTTATCAAAATAATTTTGTAGATATAACGAAATCTAATAAGAATGTAGAAATGAGCATTACAAAACAGGTCAATGCAAATCAAACATTCCAAAGTTGATCATGTCAGGCCCTTCTTGATGTTATACTGAACACCATACTGATTCTATATTTTCAGCAACGCCATGTTGTGATGGTCAGAACTGCCGAGAATGTGACAATGACGGAGACGGCTCAACACAGTGTGAACGTGGATACTTTGGCAAGAAATGCACGTCAAAGTGCAACATCAGATGCCAGTACCAGTCGTGTGAACTCACGACGAGAGGCATCGAGACTTGCACGGAGGGATGTGTTCCAGGATTCCAGGGTACAAGCTGCAACATACCATGTGACAACCCTGGGACACAGTGTACAGAGTGTGAAGGTGGATGTGATGGCGGGTACTGCATGCTGAATTCATCCTGCATTTCTGGATGTGTTGGCTCTTACTCTGGCCTTGACTGTAAGAACTGCTCTGAGAGATGTAAATCCTGTAATAGGTCTTCAGGGATATGTGACGATTGCCACGCCCCATACAGGGGTCTGAACTGTGAGATGTCATGTGAGAACTGTGCAGGATCTTGTGAATCTGGATGTGAAGGAGGCTGTCAACCAGGCTTCTATGGTCATTGGTGTGATAAGGTGTGCAGTGTAAACTGCCGTCCTGGTCCCAACGAAATCTTGGAATGTGACAGAAACACCTCCATCAATTGCACCAAATGCAATAAAACCACAGGAGATTGTGTCGTCGGTTGTAATGCCGGATGGTATGGTAAAAACTGTTCATCTCGATGTAACCCAAAGTGTTCATATGTGGCCTGCACTGAGTCAGGAGCGTGTGTTGATGGTTGTGCACCAGGGTATGCTGGGACTAACTGCTCATGCTATGAGAACTGCTTCGATCATGTTTGTCACTCGGAGAACGGAACCTGTGCGAAAGGATGTGACAATGGTTATTATGGTGCGTTTTGTAACAACACCTGTGAGATATGCGTTGATGGTGTTTGTGACCGGAAGTTTGGATTCTGCAACAAAGGATGTAATATTACTCACCAGACTTGCAAATCTACATGTCGACATGATTGTCCCATAGAGACATGCCTTGAAGACAGAACGTGTTCTGGTAAACATGAACAAACAATTCTTACTTATCGTCAATACAAGATTTGTCTTTACTGCCATTTACTTTTATTGTATTCATTCACGGAAGGTGACAAGTGTTCCTCAAACTACAAAAGCTTAGATTTACATATATTTTACTTGAACTTTTGTTTAGTCGTAGCTTTACATATACAGCCCCGTGTTTTGATCTGCGATGAGCTGGCAGGTAGCTGCATAATACAACGACTGTAGAGATAAACTATCTTAACAATAAACAAAATTAAGCTTTTGATAAACATTACAATATTAATCACATGTTTACCCCAATCTCATAAAAATCACATGCAAGTTCTCGCTGAGGACATCCCGTTACGGGTCACGTCAGAAGACCTTTCGCCAACTTTGACCGACCAATGAAATATCTAACAGGAAGTCGGCATTAGCCACTAAGAAAGCAGCTTTTCTTGGGGTTTACGGCACTAGTTTCAAACAAGCGACTTCCATTCCAGATTATTTTTTTTATAGTATTTTGAATCATTCATTTATTCAGCCCGTCACCATAGTTTTGTGTTTAGCTTTAAAGGTTGCATCATTTGAAAACATATTCACAATATGTAACAATATGAATATTTATTTTTTATAACAACGATTTTGTATCGTTATCTATCGTGTAGTTCGAGCACGAACGCAGATACTCGTTAATCCATAACTTTCTGCAACCAACCATGTCGGATTAACGGGACTTGGCTGTAGTTCCAAATTGAGATTGTTGTTCCCTTTGCCCTGACTATAAATAAAAAGATATTCCTCACATGTACTATTAATCATTATATTTTATAAAATCATATCAATATAATAACTGTGTTAACAACACACTGGCCTGCTCAACCCTGACGACAGGAATATTTCCCATGTAGGAATCGAAACAGTTCTATCAATGGAACATGGGGGCATCGTTAACTGCAGTTTTGTTATTTTTATCAATTTTTAAAACCCATTTTGTACCCGCACCAATATATGGGGTATAGAAGGTATTTAATGATGTTAGAGATTATTATCATAAGCAGTGTATTTGAAAACCACCGTTAACATAGATTCATAACATAAATCATGTTTGTGTGATTATAATTCCATTGATGACAAATATCCTTCATATTATAATTAGTATCGGCTGTGTCTTCATGATAACTAGACTCTGTGCAGTTCAACATTAGCATGTTTTGGAGAAAGAGATTAGGGTAATATGTGTTTATGAATCACTATCAAACAGAGATGATACCAGGTATTGGCACCCGTGACAAACACATGCAAATGAAAGTCAAATATTCGCCAAAAACATTTTATTATTTGAACATGATCCAATCTATTATTTCGGGACATACAGATACGGATAGTATACACATATGATAAATATCTTCGGTCATTGACTTCATCATATTTATATCATCTCTCGAACTTTCATCCTGTTTACACATTTTAGCCATGGTTTTGTATTTAATCAGTTACAAAAATTCAAAGCTGTAGGTTTTAGAGCTATTAATAAAGTGTTTCCAAATAAACTGTTAAGTGCTAGTTTTATGGTGTTAAGTAGAAATTTATCATCCGGAACTGTTTTTACCCAGCCCCCCCCCCCCCCCCCCCCCCCTCCCCCCGACTTGAACGTCCTGATATTAATTGTTAACATTAACATCATTGTTTTCTTCAGAGCGTACTCCTGGTGACACTTTCATTATCGGAACATCAACAGCGTGTGTGCTTTGCCTTGCTGGCATCATAGTAGCAATACGCATTGCATACGGACGTCATTGCGCCAAAAGGTTAAACTTAAAGTGTATTTTTGTAACACAAGGACCAGTAGAAATTTAGAATGCTTTCTGTTACATTTGACTGCAGTTAGTTTACCTATGTTTATAGTTACCTTAACTGATAAATCTCCTTTATGAACTACATAGCAAGATGCTCCGCACTGTTACCGTGTGGGAGTATTGAATACTGCATAATTATGTATTTACCTTCAGTTAAGACCATGGATGTGTACCCATGTCCCATTACACAATGTAAATAAATGATGATTTTGATTTTGTTGTAGGGAAGAAACTGATGGCGAAGAAGTAGAATGCCCAGTAGAACAACTAGAAGCACGTGACTACGAACTTATTGATATTGATTCCGATAGATATGAAACAGGCCCAGTGATAGTTTTTCTTTAGTGGAGGCTCACTTCACACAAAACCTTGACATCGTGATTTTGTCACAAATACTTTAATACTGAATATACAAACTGCCTTGTGGGATAATGATTATTATGGTGAGACATGGTGGATCCCACTCGGAGTTGGAAGTGCCTGTCTGTTAAAAACTGTCATATGCAATGAGGTAAACGACCTCTCAAGCCAAAATAATGTAAACCCTTTAAATGCCATGCTTCGAGGTAGTATCATAAGCTTTCTCAAGATCGAAAGATATTCACAGTACGCGATTTGTTTGTGGCAATAGCATTTTTTTTACAAAGGCTTCTAATCGTACAAAATGATTAATGGTACTTCTATTTTTACGGAAACCACATTGAATATTTGATATAAGATTATTAATTTCCAAATCAGAAAATAATCTCGAAGTCACCTCGAAGGTCAATAACTCATGACATGTGAATTGTTCCCTTCAGAAAGCTTGGTCAGTATAGTATGTAGACTTTATATGTATGACAAAAGTTTGCAGCAAGTGATGTTCTAACATTTAGGGGTGACATTTGAGGTCAATGTCACTAAATGTGAAGTAGACATTCATAAAAGCATGTGGACACAATAAATTGGGCATACACGATTCGAATTTGATGAAACTTAACATACTTATCTCTACAATTGGGCCTTAAGGTGATCAATTCTCGAAGGCATGCGACATTGGTGTTTTTACACGTGTATGCCCTTTGGTTCAAGAGGTAATCACGTTATGTGATGTAGGTAGGATATTTATGACCTTTGCTGCAGGGAAGTTTTCAATCCTGTGTTGGTTTCGGTTTCTATAGTTGTGTGTGCCCCATATACCCAGTTAGGTTTGTTTTAGTGATTTTGTACTGCTTTGCTTTATTTTACGTGTATTGCTGCCCCTTGAGAAACGGGTTTTCCGTTAACTTTTCCGTTGGTTGAATCCAAGCCAGCTGTACATGCTGTTTCAATGTTTTGTGTGCATTGTTTTCTAAACTGTTGGCTGCAGTGGAAATACACAAGGGCAACTGCTTTTGAGTGTGATCTGTTTCGCGGATGGCCACAACACTACGTTGAAAAAGGCAACATGTAAAATTTGTAAAGGTTTCAGAGTAGACATATGGATGACATTCCGAAATATTTATCATGAGAGATCAAAATGCATTTTCCTATTTTGACCGTGTTTGTTCAGGTGACCCCTGGACTTCCATATACTTTGTGTACATGTATCTATAGATCAGGAAGGATGTGTAAGAGTATTCGAAAAGTTGACATGCTTCTGTTTTCAAGAGGATGTGCCATACCTCTTAGCAGAACAGAAGTAAACAAGTTACTTCAATAAGTAAACGTAAATTTTAAGATCATGAACACGCCTGAACGATTCAATATTTTTACAAAGTATTAAACTTACTATGGAATACTGTAAGGGACATTCTCGCGATCTCGCATTCTCGCGATCTCGACCTTTGGAAACGAGGTAAATATGCCCAAAACACGAGAATGCGAGATCGCGAGAACGCGAGATTTGGCCAAAATCTCGCGTTCTCGCGATCTCGCATTCTCGTGTTTTTGGTACATAGCACTTTTTGTCAAAAGTCGACAACGCGAGAATGCGACATTTGGACATGATGCAAAATCTCGCAATCTCGCAATCTCGACTTGTCAAATTAGCCCACAAAATAACGAAATCGCGAGAACGCGAGAATGCGACATTTCATTTTCTCGCGATCTCGCGTTCTCGTGTTCTCGCGTTTTAGACGCTGTCCGTGCGCATGCGTAATATCATAAGGTCAAGCGCATGCGCACGTTAGTAGTCCTTTGGTCATGCTTCTTTCATGCTCTTCATTCTCCAAGTAGTATTTAGCAAACTTATGACTTGAGCTTGAAAATGCTATGTAATTTACATACACAAAGTCTGAGTCATCTCCCGTTGTTACAGTTTCCTATGTACTTTATAATAAAACCCTAAACATGCTCAATATAATTTAACAAAAGAAATTGTGTCTATGAATGTCCAATGATGATGAAAACATAAATGTGTCCGAAAGCTGGAAACAAAACTATTACCGTCAGTGAGTGAGTGAGTAATATTGCTTAAAGCCGCATCAGCAGTTATTCGCGGCTACACTGTCAGTTACAGAAATAATCACAAGCCAGTGAGTTTCTCAATGAGGCAATTTTATACACGGCTAGAATATTCATTAAAATAAAATTCTCACAGACCAATTTGTAGCATTCAGATAAAATGATATTGTCCGATGTTTTTTTGTTGTTGTTTTTTATACGATACCATATTCGCTACTTTAATTAATAGATTTTCATCCGCTCCCGCCTGACAACAAAACATCCTGCCTTACATTATTCTAATGCCCTCAAATTCCTAGAAATAGAAGTATCGTTAATATGAGTGTTCCTACTTTCTTTACCTGATAAAATACTCCGTACACGTAGCCCTACTGAGCACACATGATGCATGCGAATCGCATCCGCCGACAGCAATTGTACACATATGCCTAAAGTAGGTCGATAAGAACAAATTAAAAACGTTAAAAATAAAATGCCTCCTGTCTCCCATGTTTTTAAAAAATCAATCAAACTGTAACTATTAATTTTATTGCGGCCTTAACATTCAAATGACAGGCATGCTTATACTGGAAAAGTACCCCCAATATCCAGCCTGGGGGACCAGCATGACTCTGAATAAGTGAGTGAGTTTGGCTTAACACTGCTTTGAACAGTGTGTATATTTTAGTTATATCCCGGCTTGTCGGTTTAAAGGGGCACTAATCTTCTTCTCGGCTGTCTAACACTGCCAGCTGGGGCTCACCATCTGCCGATTTGCTCACTGACGCAACTGAGCGTGACAAGAGACTGGACTACCGTGTTCAAGAACACTGATTGGTTACCTGTAATCTCTGAATCTCAGACAAAGGGCGCATGTTAATTAATTTCTCTAGCCTAAACAAACGGACAAAAAGAACGATGGAAGCTCATCGGATGTCGTTATTTGGAAATAGCCCAGATGGTTATAAACTGAGGGCCAAAAGAAACGTTACCAACATTAACTGATTTGCCACTTTGAAACAAAGATGCCAACCTGTTCAAAAACAGTAAAGAACACATTTCACGAATACAGCCTTCATGTTCTCTGTCGTTCTTTGCACGTGCTTTGCGGATTTTTGGAAATATTGGTGTTTTTCAGCAATTTTTTAAAACAATCTTCCCCAAATTATCGTGCAATTTCCGGGTATAAATTACGCAGGGATCTGTTCCCTATCAATGGTTGCGATGATTAACACCAACGAACATGCCAAGACTGACCGCTGTCCAGAAGGAGAGAGCCATAGGTATGCTGCAGATGGGAGCGACACAGAGAGCGGTTGCCATTAACATGAACTGCTCCAAGATGACCATTACCAGACTGGTCTCACGTCTCCGACAGACTGGCAGAACCGCAGACAGACCACGGAGTGGCAGACCATAGGTCACGACCCCGCAGGATGACCGCTTTTTACGGGTACGTCATCTGAGGAACAGATTGCTTACTGTGACGTCATCAGATGCCAACAGCTAAGGACATCCGGCCAGCAGACAAACAGTGACCAGACGACTACGACATTATGGTCTCCGGGCTTATCGCCCTTTCAAAGGCATGACCTTGACCCGTCAACATCGACGTGCCAGATTGACGTGGTGCAGACAACTCAGCGATGGCAACAAAGGGAATGGAGGCGAGTGCTGTTTAGTGACGAGAGCAGGTTCCAACTCTTCAAACCTGATGGGCGGACGCGAGTGTATCGACGACGTGGTGAACGTACGGCTCCTTGTTGTGTCCAGGAGGTGGAACCTTTAGGGGGCGGAAGTGTGATGGTCTGGGGCGACATTTGCGGAGACGAGAAGACGGAACTTGTCATCATCGAAGGCAATCTGACAGCACAACGCTACATTGACAATATCTTACGGCCAGTGGTTCTTCCTTTCACCCAGCGTCAACAACGGACGGTGTTCCAACAAGATAACGCCACACCCCATAAAGCCCGTATTACTAGAGACTTCCTCAACGCCAACAACGTGACTGTCCTGCCGTGGCCAGCTCGAACACCAGATCTGTCACCCACAGAACATCTCTGGGACCAGCTGGGGCGTCGTCTTCGGAAACGTCAACATCCTCCCTTCACGAGACAAGCGTTGATCGTTGCCCTCCGTGAGGAATGGAATCGTTAACCTGCAGTCGATGTGAGGACGCTTGTCTACTCAGTGCGACGCCGCATTCGAAGATGCATTGCCGCTCATTAAGGTCATATCCCGTATTGAACGGTCTGGGCCGTCGTCACATTAAAGTTGTAACCAATGTTGTTGATCGAATACTGGACGAATGACCCCTTGTCAAGAAATGTCCCTGTTGGAGGTCAAGGACTTTGTTGTTGAATTAGTAAATTCGCATTTTACTGTTCTGAATTATATATTTCTACAATACAATTGTTATTGCTGTTTCAATTTGTTTTGGTAATATTTTATCCTAGAAATATCGTTGGTAACGTTTCTTTTGGCCGTCAGTTTATTTTTATAGTATCCGAGCAGTGAAAGCATTTTCGGATTTTGGATTGCGCGGATAATACGATTGCTATCTCTTGTTGTCATCCACGTTTTGGGGCATAACCCTACACCTGTGTCTTTGTTGCCATTCACTAGAAGCTCAGTTAATGAACCTATTACAGGTATAGGTAGTAGTAGCACTACTCAGATTACCTGACAACGGTTCCCATTTGGCATGTCTTGTGTCTGGGGCAATTATTTCATCTGAATCCAGGTTTGAAGTGAGGTGAAATGTATGTTATGTAATATTCACGTGGCAGCCAAGCAAGAGGAGTGATCAGTTCATTTACCTTTTTGTACACGGATCATTCCTCGCCATCAAAAGTTCCACAGAAAATACGTTCATTGATTAATCACTGTTATCTTGCACAGTGGATTTGTAAGTGTTTACATGTGTAGGTTTACTAAAGCATACAGAATACACTCATATCATGGCGTGAAGTGCCGATGTAAAAACAACATACTTGGTTCAAAGGATTAGCCGATAATACGTTTATTGATTGTTCATTGCTTTCTAACTCCATGGATATTTTTAAAGCACCATGGACATCATGAACATAATTGTCACACGTGCTATCTTAGCTGACCGATGAGACTTGCCACCTTTGTAAAAACATCTGAAAGAAACTTAGTGATCAGTTGCAAAACGAACACGGGTTATAATATCCAGAAACGCTCTATGTATATATTTTAACATTTGAATGTAACAGAGCCATGTGACGTCGAATAAGTTTATTTGTACAGCAGCAGACGTATGGGATATTGTTCCTGTATGTGAATATTCACGGATACATTCCTCGAACAAGGAAGCTGCCCAAATGTATACATAAAACTGCGGTGGATCGTAATTATGATATTTGCATTTTGTTTTCATTCATTTGCTGTTGCATTGGATAGAATCAGTTTTGTTTCTCTTGTACCTGTAGGCGTGTATACATGTATATTACACTCAATGTGTAAAAAGTGATTCACTCAGGCAATTTATAAAATGTCTAAATATTTCAGTAATATAGAAATTGACTGAATCCAAGTCCAGATTGACTAACAATTTTTAAGAGGTTCAAAAGGG